AGCCTGTGCCCTGCACTCTGTACCCACACCATGGGCACCGTGCCCCACACCCTGTACCCACACCCTGCACCCCACAGCATGGACACTGCGCCCCACAGCATGGACACCGTGCCCCACAGCTGCACCCCACAGCGTGGACACTGCGCCCCACACCATGGACACTGTGCACCCATCAGCCTGCACCCTGCACTCTGTACCCACAGCATGGACACTGCACCCCACACCCTGTACCCACACCCTGCACCCCACAGCATGGACACTGTGCACCCCACAGCATGGACACTGTGCACCCATCACCCTGTGCTCTGCACTCTGTACCCACAGCATGGACACTGCACCCCACACCCTGTACCCACACCCTGCACCCCACAGCATGGACACTGTGCCCCACAGCTGCACCCCTCTGGGCTCCCCACGCCTCACACCGTGCCCCCTGTACCCACACGCTGCACCCCATGCTGTGCACCCCTTACCATGCACCCTGAACCCACACCCCGCACCTCCCCGGGCACCCCGCACCCCTGACCCTCGCCAGGGGGCTCCGGGGCTCGGCTCCTTCCCGGCCGGCGGGAGAAGGGGGTGCGGGGCCCCCCGCGCCACCCCCGTGCGGGAGAGGCCTGAGCCGCCGGCGGGATTAGCGCGGATTGAGCTATTCCTGGCGCTGGGGACAGAGACCTGCTGTCACCTCCCGGCTGCAAGGCGGCTGGCAGGGTGGGGGTGTCCCCAGGAGGGGTGTATCCCCCAGGATGGGGGATGTCCTGGCCCCGGAGTGTGTGCTGGGCTCATGCCCTGTGCCGGGCGGGACACATGGTGGCCTGTAACGTGCCAGCCCTGCTCCCCATTTGGGGGGTCCCGCCTGTTCCGGGGGTCCCTGCAGCTCCTCCATGTGTGACACCAGGCTCAGCAGGGACACCCCGGCCAAGTGCCGGGCCAGGGTGGCTGCTCCCAGTGCCGGGGCTGGCAAAGCCCCGGCTCTTCCTGCGAGGGAGTGTCCAGCAGCGCAGGGCAGGGCTGGGCAAGGCGTGGGCACCGGGGCTGCGGCCAGCTGGACACGGTCCCACTGCGGGCACGGCCAGGTTGGGGTCAGCCCAGTTCCTGCTGGCCGCCAGGGTCACGCTGTTCTCGCACGCTGCTGCTCCCCGTCCTCTGGCCTTTGCTGCCAGCGGCCCGAGGGGACAGCTGGTGTGTCCCCTGGGATGTGGCCCTGTGTCCCCTGGGATGTGCCCGTGTGTCCCCTGGGATGTGCCCAGTGTGTCCCCTGGGATGTGCCCAGTGTGTCCCCTGGGATGTGCCCGTGTGTCCCCTGGGATGTGCCCAGTGTGTCTCCTGGGATGTGCCCAGTGTGTCCACTGGGATGTGCCTGCGTGTTCCCTGGGATGTGCCCAGTGTGTCCCTTGGGATGTGCCCGTGTGTCCCTTGGGATGTGCCCGTGTGTCCCCTGGGACGTGCCTGGCACGTCCTTGGCACAGCTGGGGGCACGGGTACCCCGGGTGCGGGTCGGTCTTGCCCTGCAGTGCTGCCGGCAGGAGCCGAGAGCAGGGTGGACGCGCAGCCCCCGTGCTTTGGGGCGGTTCTGGGGGCACGGGGGGCGCAGGGCAGAGCTGGGGCAGTGCCCGCTGCAGCCCGGTACCCCCGGGAGCGGGCCGGGCCGGGGCAGTGCCCGGCGCTGGCAGCAGCGCTTGGCCGGGAGCTGTCCCGGGCTGACCCCGCGGGATGCGGCGTCGCCTCCCCCGCGGCCACGCGCCGAGGTCACCGTGCCGAGGTCACCGTGCCCAGGTCACCCTGCCCAGGTCACCGTGCCGAGGTCACCCTGCCCAGGTCACCGTGCCCAGGTCACCGTGCCGAGGGCGGCCGCTGCCCGCGGGGCCGGCGGGGCCGAGCCTCCCCCGGCGCCTCCGGCACGGCAGAGGGGGCCGGTGCCGGGGGCCCCCGGCAGGGCTGAGCC